GTTTTGTTCAACATCTTTATTAATGACCTGGATGAGGGGATAGATTGCACCTTCAGCAAGTTTGCAGATGACACTAAGCAAGGGGGAGAGGTAGATACACTGGAGGGCAGGGATAGGGTCCAGAGTGACCTGGACAGATCAGAGGGTTGGGCCACAAGAAATCTGATGAGGTTCAACAAAGACAAAGTGCAGAGTTCTGCACTTGGGATGGAAGAATCCCAAGCATTGTTACAGGCTGGGGGCCAAAATATTGTATCCAGTTCTGGGCTCCCCACTATATAAAGGAAGTGGATGCAATGGAGAGGGTCCAGTGGAGGGCAACCAAAATGATTAGGGGGCTGTAACTCATGACCTATGAGGAGAGATTGAAGGATTTGTGTTTGTTTAATCTGCAGAAGAGAAGAGTGAGGGGGGAATTTGATGATAGCCTTCAACTTCCTGAAGGGAGGTTCTAAAGAGGATGGAGAAAGGCTGTTCTGCCATCTGAGGGATGGCAGAACAAGGAGCAATGGTCTCAAGTTACAGTGGGAGAGGTCTAGGTTGGATATTAGGAAAAACTATTTCACTAGGAGGGTGGGGAAGCACTGGGATGGGTTCCCTAGGGAGGGGGTGGAATCTCCACTGAGGGATGGCAGAACAAGGAGCAATGGTCTCAAGTTACAGTGGGAGAGGTCTAGGTTGGATATTAGGAAAAACTATTTCACTAGGAGGGTGGGGAAGCACTGGGATGGGTTCCCTAGGGAGGGGGTGGAATCTCCATCCCTAGAGGTGTTTAAGTCTCGGCTTGACAAAGCCCTGGCCGGGTTGATTTAGTTGGGATTGGTCCTGCCTTGGGGGGTGGGGGAAGGCTGGACTTGATGATCTCCTGAGGTCTCTTCCAGCCCTAGGATTCTAGGATTCTAGGAGCTAGAGACAGATTCATTAGGGCCCTGGCCTCCATGTACTCTGAACTCAGCAGCAATAGCGTAGAGACAGAAGAGCAGATAGCCATACAGCTCAGAGCTGCTGGCTAGGTGTGGGCTGTCTCATAGATAAAGGATGCAGGACCCTTAAGAAGACAAAAGTCCATCTTCTTGGAGGAAGTGTGCATCTAGGACAAGAGGGCATGGCTGTCTGTGGGGTCCCTGACATTGGCTGATGATGCAAGTGATCTGCTTTATTAGCAAATCTGGGTGTTGCTTGGCTAATTCTCAGGGATCACTCAGACTAGTGGGGAAGCTGAATTATTGGCAATGACTAGACGATGAAGGAGTGTCCCTCTCAAGACAGGCCTGTATGTGAGAAATTCATAGGAAGTGTATTTGTGGAATCACAAATCATGTTGCTTTGATGATTCTTTGATTCCTAGGAAGCAACTGCAATCCACAAGTGCAAAGACTGTACAGGAGGCCCCTGACATGCAACACAATCCGTTCCTGGGGAAGCGTCACAAGTTGGGGGTGTTATAACTTGAGTCCTCATTTACGATAGGTGCCGTGCACATCGTAAATGTGGGCCAAGGATGTAAGTCAGGGCTTTCCGGCCCCTTCTGCACTTACAAAAATGGTTGTAAATGTGGGGGGGGTTGCAAATCAGGTGGTCTCATGTCGAGGGGCCTCCTGTAAATAAATCAATGAGAATCACTGCTGTGCACCAAATGGGAGCTGTGATATGTTCCCAGACCTGAAGAAGAGCTCTGGGGAAGCTGGAAATCTTGTCTCTCCTACCAGCTTAAGTTGGTCCAATACGAGATATCACCTTCCATGCTTTGTCTCTAGAATATAGCTGTTTGTTTCACAGAACTCCAGACCCATCTGCTCTCTTTTATGCAGGCTCTCATAGTGCATCCAGCCCAAGGGATCTGAGTGTGTACCCCATCGCCAACCAGGATGATGAATGCAGCATCACAAAACAGCTACCTGCCCCACCACTGTTCCCTGTAAGTTGAGCACTTGGGCAATCACCCAGGAGAGATTCAAATACAACCCAGCTAATTAGCAGAGTGCCCACAGCAGGCAGCATGTGTATCTACTGGTGGCGCACCTCCATACATGCCTCAGTGCACATAACTCATAGACAGAAAATATTAGAGGGAACACTGTGTCCTATGGTGCAATTCTGTGGCCTGGGGACTTTGGCAGGGGATATGTTTCAGTCCAGAGGCAGGGGGATCCACTGACTAATTGTAATGTATTTAGCATCTGATGCCTAAACATGTTAGCCACAGTTGCATTTCCACTATCATTCACACTCAGGTAACAGCAAATACCATTAACAGCTACAAACCTCTGCACTCCTTTAAAACAATGTTATGACACCACTAGTCTCCATGGTTTTGCTGTAGCGGTGAGTCCTACAGATTGGCTAGACATCCACTGACTAATTGTAATGTATTTAGCATCTGATGCCTAAACATGTTAGCCACAGTTGCATTTCCACTATCATTCACACTCAGGTAACAGCAAATACCATTAACAGCTACAAACCTCTGCACTCCTTTAAAACAATGTTATGACACCACTAGTCTCCATGGTTTTGCTGTAGCGGTGAGTCCTACAGATTGGCTAGACATAGAAATTGTGTAAATGGATGAAACTTTCGGTTTCACTGTGTGGTTCCTTGCTCACACAATATAGGGGAGACTATAACATAGCCTGTGACTAGGTTTTCTTATTGAGAGTGCCTTACTCAAGATACCTCTTACTCTTCTCTTTAGGGTAAATCTTTACCATGTATCTATATAACAATGTACCTTTCACAAGACCCCCCGATAAGTGTCTCCAATCTGGGTTTTTAAAAAATATTTCCTTTATTGCTCTTGAACCTGAACACCAAACTCCCCCAGCAGATATGCCATCTTGTTATAAATGCCTTTATAATACCGTCCATCCCATCTGTAACACATGCAAGTCTCTTATTTGCTACTCTAGCTTCTGCATGCTGGCCAAGCATGCTGGCCAGGTGCTCCCTTCATGGCACCTACTCACTCAGACCTTTTCAGCATGGGAGGGAGGCAGAGGAGAGAGGAATTTAGATCATTCCTCCTCATTATGCAGCTCTCTAAATTAAATTGCAGCTGCCCAATCCCCCAATTTGATTAGGTCCCTGTGGAGCTTCCGACCTAAATAGCTGTGTCCCTGTCAGCAAGTTACAGCACTGATTGCAGGGGTAGGCATCACGGGCACTGGACTGCCAGCATTGATTTATTCTGAATTTTTTTAAGGGTGGTATAAAGAGCTCTTTAGGGATTTCTTGCCTAAAAAACCCTTGCTCAGCTAGGAAGACTTGGGGTTTGCTGAGAAATTCATAGGGATGTAGAGGGTGGAAAGGGTTAGCTCATCTTAGCACACCCCATCCTTGTCCCTTTGGTCCAACTTCAAAATCTTTCCTTGGGGAACAGTACCTTCTGAGTGGCTCTGTCCTCCTTGTATCTGCTCCTCTCTCCTTGGACTGCTCGGGATGTTGTTAAAGACAGGATGAAGTAATGCAGAATTCACCCACTGCAACAACAAGCTGTTCCACGGACTCAGCTCTCCTTATGGGCTACAACAATGCTCTGGCTTGGTTAGGTCTGTCGAAGGAGGAAAACCCACTCAGCACTAGGCACACAGCTGTTTGCAGCGTCTCTCATGCCTGCTGATGTTGCTCCTTCTCCATCATTCTACGGCCCTTGAACAGAGAGAGGCACACAAGCATGGAGATGCACACACACAAGCATGCACATACTGCCTTTCCGATCCGCTGTTCAGGCAAGAAAGAAAAAGCCACACCAAAAGCTTAGGCTAGGGGATTTGGCCAGCTTTTCCTCATAACACAACATGTGGAAGAGGGTGTAACATAGTGATCTAGCAAACTTGGCAGTGGTCCTGCCGGTGACCTAGTCCTAAACAGGAATCAGCTGGGCCTCCTGTATTGTCTCCAAACATTCAACACACACTAAATCGTGTTTGTTGGTGGTTCATAGGGTCCAAAGGCCTCCCTCCCCCGCCTTTCTTAGTGATGTGGCTACAGTGAGGGTTGAGAGGAATGTGCACAACTTCCCTAATCTGGATAGAATTAGCCAAATAATCTCTGATCTCACGGCGTGAGGCCGCCACCTCTCTTTGGTATTCTCCCAACTGTCTCATCTGCCTCCACAGCCCTGAGTCACTTCTTCTCTTGAAATCTGTCTTTAGAAAGCTTCCTCCCAACTGCCTTTCTCAGATGGCTTATCTGCTCCTCATTATGTAGCATGTGGACTCTGGTGGCACAGTGTCCCCCAGCAGAATGTCTGCTCTGCAGCTGGACGTCAGTCTCTGGGCTCAGGGCCACAGACTGGTGTGAGCCGGCTTGTGCTGGTGCACTGATAATAGCTGTGCAGTCGTGACTCTGGTATGTGATTCAGGCTGGTGCCCAGGCTGTCAAGCCAGCTTTTTCTCTGCCCCTTGTCCCCCTCGGTTGAGAGCCCAAGCTCCAACTCAAGACAAAACGTCTGCATGGCTGCATCCTCCCAGCTGCAGTATAGACATACCCACCCTAGAAGGCTTTATTCTGCAAGGGAGAGCTGACTGGTGAAGGGGAAGGGGGGCATGGTATGTGATTCAGGCTGGTGCCCAGGCTGTCAAGCCAGCTTTTTCTCTGCCCCTTGTCCCCCTCGGTTGAGAGCCCAAGCTCCAACTCAAGACAAAACGTCTGCATGGCTGCATCCTCCCAGCTGCAGTATAGACATACCCACCCTAGAAGGCTTTATTCTGCAAGGGAGAGCTGACTGGTGAAGGGGAAGGGGGGCACTGGCTAAATGATTCCAACCCCACACCCAGCCCGGGGCAACCCCCTCTACCCTAGGACCTGACTCTTCCCTGCTTTGCCCTGTCCCTGCCTCTGCTTCACCCCCACCCTGTTTCTTCCCCCTCCCTCAGGCTGATGCAACCCAGGGGACTAGCAGCCCACCACTCACTGGCAGTGGCAAGGGGAAGCCCAGCTCCCACCCCAGCTTGCTGCGCTCCTCTGGCTGCATCGCTCTGCTTCCCGCAGGTGAGTGCAGGGTGGTCCTGCCCCCTCCCCAGGCAACATGGCTCCACTTGCCCCACCTCTGCCGGTTCATGCGGTAGGAACCAGACCTCTGCTGTGGGAACCAGCCCTCCCTCTCCTCCCCTGCTGATTCCCCTGCTGGCTGCTAGATGGCCTCTCCTGCCCATGGCATTTGGGGCACATGACCCCTGATGCCCCCCTCCATGTGCCACCTGCACTACACAAGCATTACACAAGCACATGGCACTTGTGATGGTCTAGCTTGTCTGTGTTCAATGAGCTACTTTGTATTTGGGATGTTAAAATATGTTTAATCAAGTAAAGGAGTAACCACTGAAAATGTCAGTGGTTACACAGTTACACAGGCAGCTCCCTGGGAAACAGGACCCTGATGCCCCCCTCCATGTGCCACCTGCACTACACAAGCATTACACAAGCACATGGCACTTGTGATGGTCTAGCTTGTCTGTGTTCAATGAGCTACTTTGTATTTGGGATGTTAAAATATGTTTAATCAAGTAAAGGAGTAACCACTGAAAATGTCAGTGGTTACACAGTTACACAGGCAGCTCCCTGGGAAACAGGACGCATGGAAGCCAGCCCCATGGGAGCCAGTGTGCACCGGGAGCCCG